ACTTTGGTTGGTTGTGCATGTGGACCCAAAGGCTTGGATGTAGTCCAGGATGCAATTTAAAAGGGAACGAGTAGCTCTCATAAGAATGACACATGAGGAAATTCGTTAGGTAGAGTTGTCCTTGTGGCCAAGTTCATCCGTTAGAGGTCTTGAAAGGTAAGTTTGGCCCTGAAAATGTATCTTATTCCCAAGGGGTTTACTCACTTGTCAAGTTATAGAGAGAAACACTCATTGTAGAAAACCCAAGACAGGCTCCTGTCAGTTCACCTCTCATGAAACACATCCACCTTTGGAGTTAAGCCACAGCCCTTACCATGACATTTTGCCCAACTGCACATCTCACAATGGAGGCTTTGGGAAGTCCTCCAAAACTATTCCCCAGTGATGGAGGGACACTGAAAAGTAATCCAAAGCACACATCAGAGCCTGAAAGAATGCTCTGGAATACTTCTGTCATTTCAGCTGCCTTCCAGGAGGTGGTAGCAGATGGTCATAAGGATGCCCTGGATACAGAATGGTAGACAAGTTTGAAACACATAAATTTAGCCAGGACAAAGATCTCAGGGATCCTTACATGCCATCATCACTGTAGCTAAAGAGCGAAAAGGAAACGTCTTGTAATATGTGCTGTATTAGTCACCTTTCCCGTTTTTGGACAAAATACCTGATACCCACTACTTAAAGGAAGAGAGGCTTACTTGGCTCATAGGTTCAGAGGACTCAGTTGATGGTCAGCTGTCTCCAAGGTAGAAACAGCACGGCGGAAGGGCCTGGCAGAGCAAAGATGCTCAGTTCATAGTGGCTGGGGAGCACAGCAGGCAAAAGGCGCCAAAGAAGGAGTGAGGGACTAGATGGCTTCAGGGCCCACCAAGACACTCCCAGAAGCATCTGCTACTAATTCCCTAGGTGGCTCCCAAGCCAATGAAGTTGATAATTAAGCTCAACTATCACAAATGGTATCACTACATAAGGCAAAATTTAAAAGATACCAATAATATTCAATGAAAAGTCTGCATCTCAGTCCTGTCCCCAGTTACACTGTTCCTTTCCCCAGGGCCAACCATTATTACCAGTTTTTTTAAGTATCCTTCCTGAAATTGTCTATACATTTCCAAACATACATATGCTGCACTATACCTTTGTCATTTGTCTCAGGTAACCTTCCATGTAATACACATACATTAGTTTTTTTACAGCTTCATAAGATTCCACAGATTACCATAATTTCTTAACCATGGAATATTTATTAGTCATATATCGAAAGCAGACATTGGAAATTAGCTATCCATAGACAGACACTACTCATGGACATATTCTGTTTGCCATAATTATGGTTTTAACATGTGACTCTCAAAACATTTGGCCATATGGGGAGTGGTAGAAAAGGCTATCTAGCGACATCCACTCTTCTCTCTTAAATAAGAGGGTGCCACTGGAAAACAGCGGCCTTGCCCCACAGGCTAGATATATCCATGGGACTAGGTTTCCTCCATATATCCATGGGACTAGGTTAGCTTCCCCATGGCCACCTTCACAATCCTGGGGTCCTGGGATACAGGAAGGCAAAATGAAGATGAGACAAGTAGTGTCTGCAGTTAGGCAAAGAGAAGGGCAGTGACAGAACTCACTAAGCCTTGTGAGCAGGTGACTCACAAAAGAAGAAATAATGACCAGTAATGATAAGAAAAGATGCTTAGCCTCACTAGGAGTCAGAGAAATTCAAATTTTGCCTACTGTGTAGGTAACATTTAAAAAGACGAACATTCCACAGTGAAACCTAGTATTATATAAAATTAATACACACTGATAAATGTATTTAAGTAAACATTAACCAGTGATGGCAAGATTGTGAGAAAACACTCTCAGACAGCGTCAGCAATGGAGTAAGCAACAGGCTTTCTAGAGTCCAGTTTGGCAACATATATTTATACTTTCAATATCTATAGCCTTTGTCCTCATAATTCCAATGAATAGGGTTTCCTGCAGGAAAATAATTATTTGAGGAAACAAAGATATGGACATGAAGTCACTGATAACCCCTGCCCTGCTTATACCTTAAGAGCACAGTGAGGGCCAGGGATATAGCTCAGCAGCACAAGCGCCTGCCTGGCAAGTGCAAGGTCCTGAGTTCAATTCCCAGTACCAAAAAAAAAAAACAAAAGAAGAAGAGCATAGTGGAGGTGTGGAAGAGCCTAGCAAGTGGGGAGGTACGTGCCTATTGCGGGCAGCGGGGACAAAAAAAGAAGCAGAGAAGCAAGGGAGAAGAGCTGGGAGCAGCAAGGAGAAACAGAAGGCTGTGAGAAGAACACAAGAGGGGTGAGAGACATCCTTACAAGGGTAATAAAAGAGCAGGCAGGGTGGTCTAGGGGTCATAGGTGAGCTTCAGAGGAAAGCTTGGGGAACAGAAGGAGACGGAGAGAGAGAGAAACCACCACCAATACATAATCAACTACAGGACACCCACAGCACACAGGCATCGAGAGGAATGATTCGCCTCTCTACTAGGAAACAGAGAGATGGTTAACTGGAACGATCAGGATACAGAACAGCAAGCATAGTATGAACATATTTACCTAAAGTGATACACAAAGCCAAGGGCAATGAACAGGTTGCTACATATGCACCACAGTTCTCTATGCACACTCTTCTGGCAGGTGTGGGCTTTACTGTGCGTGTTTCTCATTTGTTACAATTTGAATAATTTCCGGCAGTATGTAATATACTAAAATTCTACATAATCTAAACAGACTCTTGTACTTTACTGAGAATTAACTAAATGGAAATAAATTAAGTAAATGCAATGATACACCTGCTTTTTACACTACAGAAACATTCCATTCTTCCAATAGATTTAGGCCATGAATACAGATGTCACCTGCCCAGCTATTTTTTGCCCATCTCTTGGTTTATCTAGACATACAGAAGGGTCAACATTGGGGCATTTATCATACTAACATGCTTCTCATTGTAAAGTCTTACCATCATTGGAGATGTCAAAGGGAAGTGTCTTAATTCAGGTTCTCCCTAAAGCAGCCCCTGAGACAAGGACTTGAGAGGAGGTATTTTATTTGGGTGTGGGAAAAGTAAATCAAGGCAGGAGGGGAAAAAACAAGAGGTATGCTAATGACTGGGGTACTATAGCAAGCAACTGGGGCTCAGTCCTTCTGCAAGCTTTCTCAATAACCATCTAGAAAGAATCATAGAACTGTCCGCTGGGGGTCCAGAAGTAATAGGTTTTAGCCTCATCAGCCAAGGGCTGCCCCTGAGGGCATTAAATCCTTGGTATTTGTAGCCCACAGATATATAGGCTTCAGATGCATACTGAGTTCTCTGGGTCAAACACAGTGATATTTGTATTATGTTTATAACCTTACCAAAACTGTACCACTCCATGGAGTATTGGCTCTATTTTACAAATTAGGAATCTGAAGTACAGAAAGATTAAGCCACTTGCTGAAAATCAAAGAGTTAAAAAGCAGCTGAGCCAGGGACACAGCTCAGTGGCATAAGCACCTGCCTGGCAACTGCAAGGTTCTGAGTTCGATTCCCGGCACCAAAAAAAAAAAAAAAAAAAGCAGGTGAGCTGAGCACCAAATCTCGTTTTGTGTCTTCCACCCTATGATGCAATGCTGTAACAGCCACGGTATGTCAATTCTCAAACATAGCTGGCATCTCCTTGTGGGGTCATACAGCCTGAAAGATGTATACACATTTCCAGCTTCCCTCTTTGCAAGGGAAAGGTACTGTGAAAGTTGCCCAGATTATTTTAATCTTTCTGCATCCATACAAAAATCTACTAGTTCATAAGCTTCCAGTGATATGAACTTTTTACAGCATCATCACCCATGGCTACTCTCATCCTAAATACTAGTTACTAACAAACTATGTCAAAATTTGGATCAAAGTAAGGGGGGAAATTCAAGAGAAATTTTTGTCTGATGAACTCACTGCAGAGAATGAAATCTCAGAGAGTTCCAGATTCTAATATATTAAAAACCAATCTATAACTTTACTGTGAGGAGAGTATTTTACTAGAACAAATAAAATATGCTGAGCTCTGCCCAGACACAGAGGTCATGCTAATGTATGAGCCAAGGACAGTCTTCCTGCTTTAGTAGAAAAGATAATAATCTGAAAACCACTAGCATCTGAGACTGGTTTGATTTAAAATGCACATAGATTTTTTTAAAGTTTGAGGAAATCACTGTATTTATAGCTTGCCTATATGAGTCAGTGGAAAAGCCCTTGCTGCTCTGAAAATAGCACCTTGCATGGTGCTGTATCCTATCACCTGCATGAAAGCAAAAGTTTGGCTCTCATCTTCTGTTCCTTAGCTTCCCAAGGAGAATATATCCTACTTCACAGGAAGCCAGCAAGCAGATAGGCACCTCTGGCTTCCTCTACCTCCAGCCTGGTTCTACAGCTGCTGGCTTAAGAAAGTCCCATTGCAGAATCCCCAGAGCAGCACACCTGAAGGTTCCCTTTCTCTAGACCTCTCCACCAACCACCCAACCACCAATCAGATTTAAAGCCCCATTTACATTAAATCCTATGCCACTCTGGATGTTCCCCACAAGGAAAAACTGCATGAGAAGGTTCTTGCCAAGTGCCTATTAGCAAGATCTTGCACAGAAGAACCACATAAGTGCATGTCTGAGGAAATGACAGAGTGATCTTGTTTACAAATTACCATGATGCAGAGAGCAAGACCCCAGCCAAGTACGTAGTGGGATGCGTGACTTTGAAGCAGTTTTATCCTCCTGGTAGAGGGTTTCATAATTCTTGATCCACAGCAAGCCTAAGCAAGGCTCCAGACCCATGTGCTATATATCTAGCTAGGACTGTTTTCTTGAACAAGAATACCACAGCGGCATGAAGACCTTTTGATGAGAAATTGCCAAGTCTGCTTCTTCCTCGGACTCACAAAGGCCTCTGTGGCAGATATATCCACTGACTCCAACAGGAAGGGAAAAGGTTTAGGGGGCAAAGGAGCACTTCACCTGGCACACTGGGCTGGAAGACTTTATTCAGATCCAAGGAGGAGGCTCTGGAATGGGTTTTCTGTGGCCGTGGTGGCGGGGTGGGAGGGTCCTCGCCCCTTTTCATAGCCTCTTCTATGGAGGTGCTAGAGTAAGATCTGCAGCAAAATAAGGGAAGGTCAGAAGGGAAGGAAAAGGGAAATAGCAAAGCTTTACTCCCTGAAGTTGGGTTTAAATAGAAAATATCTACAAAGTCAAAGTGACTGCAAAGGCCTGACGACCTGACAAAAGCAGTCGTAAATCCTACTATCCCCTGGATGCCATTATGTACAGTAAGTGTCCAAATCCAACCATGAATTGGGGTCTTTTTAAACTCTTTGCTCTTATTATACCATAGACCTAAATTTATATCCTCCCAAAAGCTCTGTGTAAATTCAAATCAACTGCTATTAGAGTTGCTAATAAGAACAACATGTAAGCCCTTCAGCTTAGGTACCTCCATGTTTTAACAGAAGGCTTCATGGTATTAACTGACTGCAGAACTTTTCTCCTGTTTATTTGCAAATGTGACAAGTACATAAGGAGCTGAAGCAGACAAGCTGAGGCTGAGAATCAAATACCCAAAAGCATGTATCACAAATTAAATTTAGGCAAGAAAAACATGCATTAATCAGGATGAGGGGCTTTACTTTTCCTGTCTTAAGAAATAAGGGTTTGGGAAAATTTTCAAAGCAAAAGCCTCATCTTAATCTTCCTTAAAGTATAGCAAGGGCACAGCTAACTAGGCAACTTCTGAGCTTATAATTCCAATGGTGACATTTAAAGAGAAAGGAATTAAATAACTGAAGGTCATGGAGCTAGAAAGTTATACAGATTCAATTCAAACTCCAATCTCTGTAAATTTTACTCCTAAAATGTTCTTGTACTGCCTATGAGCCAGAGAACAAGTCCTTTGGCAGTAATAGCTAGAAGATTTGCTGGAGACTAATTTTCTAAATTAACTGAACTCTCTATGTTGGCCTATTGCTTAGGAACAGGTCTACAAGACATGCTCTGGATATAACGATCATGAAAAGAATGAAAGAGCTGGAACTATATGTCCTTCTCTTCAGCTTCTCCACTGGTAGAGAATGACCTCTGAGTCAGCGATGTGACCTAGAGACAAATTAACCTCAAGAAACTGTTCTTTCAATTTAGCTATTAGAATGGCACTTAGGAAATTACAATCTATCAGTGAATATTAAGTCCCTTCAGTTCTCGGCAGAGCCGTTTTTGACAGCGCAAGTTTTTACTTTCCTAAGTTTCTGAAGGTTTCTTTGCGGTAGCTGAGGGTTTTATCTGCCTTGCAAGGTTGTACTCTCTAATAACACCACAATAATGGTATGTGACATGCTCTGCGGCGGTCCCTATAACACAACTGGCAAGACAGGCAAGGCAAAAACAGGCAGGAACAAGCGGGAAAGAATGCTCTAACACTTTCAACCAGAATCAAAGCGAATGGATATGAAAAGACAACAAAATTTTTAAATGGGAACTCTTAATTTAAAAGGGAGATTAGAGAACCCAGCTAGAAATCAAAAGGATTTTGCATGCCACTTATACCTTTGGTGACATCTTTCCCTCAAGAAAGAAAGAGTAATGTACATGTAGAAATAATTGTGTGCACACCCATGTACATTAATATACTATCCTATATCACATACCTCATCTCCATAATCTGTGTGTTTATACTTTCCCATGAAAAAGTACTGAATATCAAATAAGTGATATTGTGTAAAGACAACTGCAACCAATTAAAACATACATATTCAGAGAACTGACAAAATGATGGACACAGTAATGTTAGAATGGAGATTTTACCTCTTTCCCTTACATTTCTACAAATCTTTATTATTTTAAAAAGGAGAATAAAAATTATTTGATTCACTTGATCTCAATAAAAACCCAGCTGAAAACAGTGAAAATAAAATCATCAAAATTAGACCAGGATGTCAATCTCTGAAAGAATAAGATATAAAATATAGCCAGACATAGAATGCACCTATGGGATTCTATAATTCCACTCGCTTTGAAGGAAGGTAATAGTCAGCAGAAGCTAAATTCAATTTATGGTTAACAAAGGAAACATAAGCAGATTTCTTCAATTCAGGGATTTTTTTCCTACTATGAAATTAGATAAATATTACATTTTCCATATCTCACAGCCAATATAGACTAATTTGGAAAAAAAAATCATGGTGGCACACGCCTCTAATCCCAGCACTTGGGAGGCTGCAACAAGAGGATTGCCTCGAGTTCAAGGCTGGCCTGGGCTATATAGTGAGTTCAGGACCAGCCTAAACTACACAGAGAACGACACAGTATCTCAAAAAAAAAAAAAAAAATCTATTCATCCTTTAAAGAAGAATGACTACATGTAGTGACCACAGAAGGAGTGGCTATGTTCCTTCTTTCTACTAAAATAAATTACTCTTTCTAAAAATACATATGCAGATATATGCATGATAGCTAAGATAATTGTACTACTAATTTCTATTGCTTTATTGAAAGGAACAGTTGATATTTAATTGTTTGATCAATCTTACATGCCTATATTTGTTTATCTGAGTAACCAATTTGAAGATAACAATATGTAATATAACAACCATTGTTAATTTCCTATCACCTTGACTGAAATTCTGTATTGTTTTTATTGTTGTTATGCTGTTTCCTTTATGTCTGTGTGTTTGTTAATATGATATGGTTCTTTTGTCCTTAAAATAAATAAAAAAATAAATAAAATGGAAACAAAACCTTAATTTAGAAAATGCAGACATAAAAGATAAACTAAAGGCTAACTCTCTGATTTACAATAAGATGAGATTTTCCTAAAAATATAATCAGCTTTACATTCACTTTTTTAGGAATGTGTCTAGTAGCCAAAAGAAGAAAAAGGCACAAAGAACCAAAGCAAAATTCAGAGAACACACACGGTAGCCTATCTTACACTGCTGAAAAGCAATCCAAATACTATTTTTCTTCTTTGATGGATAAACTCTTTTACTATTTCTATGTTTCTCCTTTACACCTCTCTTCTGAGTCTCATGTCAGCTACAGCTTTGCCTTACTGGTTCTCCCTCTTCCACTGACTACATATTTTAAAAATGTGAAGCAGAGAAGAGGTGCTAATATACACCCAAAATGACCATGGGCACTGCTTACCTGAAGCTTTGTGCCTGCTTGAAATCATAAGCATTTTCCCTCATCTAGATTTTAATCCTCAGATGTCCTACTTTTTGATATTCACCTTGTCACAATAGCAAATTTCAGTTGTTTGTTATCTTTTAACTGTATTGCTCTCTTTCCAAAACTCTGACCCCCTATTATCACCATCCTACCAAAATGGTTCACTGCACACAACCCACTTCCTACCGGGGGGCCAGAGGGCATCAGCCACTATGTTCTAGCACTGACAACCAGAGACTAAGAGGTTTCCCAGCATGGCTGTGTTTTCAAAGGAGGCTACTCACAAAGAGTGAAATGGCCCCATACTTTTAGCTTCAAATCTAAAGACAAAGGAGATCATAGTTTGGGTTTGGGGCTTTTATTTCTAGGCAGGAACAGGGCACAAAGGGCATTAAAGCAGAAATTAAACAAACACTACCTGGATCTTGGTCTTGCTTTGAGACTGTTGGAATCCTTAGGAGTTGCTGAAACAAAGATTAATTGTTGTTTGGTTGGGTTTCATTTCTGCAGTTAGACAGGGTTATATGCAGCACCTGGGCTAGTACAGAACACATCAAGAGGTAAATGCGAGGTAGAGATGTTCACACGGAGAACTTAAGGGCTCCCACATTTTCATAATTTCCTAGATTTATTTTTAAAGCCAAAGGCACAATTAAAAGGAAATAAAATCCAGCATATGTTCCCCTTTGTCAGAGAACTATTCCAAGAAGCCATTCTCAAATCTAAGTTGATTAATGAAGACATTCCAGGATAAAAACACAAGGGGTACACTGGAGGGTTTCTTAGTCTGCCATGATAGCCTCTAATAGAGTTTGGACCAGATATTCCAGAAGGCTGGGAAGAATTCTATCCAACTATGCACTGTCTTAAAATACACTACCAGAGCCACATGGCCACAAGAAAGCAAAGCTCCTAAAGTTAACAAGAGCTCTGCAACTTTTCTTATAAGGAAATACTCCTATGCCATGTTTCCGTGACAAAATAAGACAGAAAATATTATGGAATGAAATCATTAAAATATTTTAGCAACCCTATGACTGTTCTTCATCAAATTTTGGTCATAAACTAACTTACTACCAGCACCCATGGAGCCCACTTTCCTGTGAGCAGTAATTTGAAACATTTATAAAAACATCAACCCGCTTATTATTTCAATCTTTCATCAAAGACAACTTTAGAAACCAGTAGCTATGCTAAGGTTTTGCAAACATTGTAATTTTTTTTGTAGTACAAGGAACCAAACTCAGGACCTTGCACTTGCCAGGGAGGCGCTATGCCACTGAGTTATATCCTCAGACCCCAAACATTGTAAATTTTTCACCATTAAATGCCATCAATACTCTGGTTTCTCTTCAGAGTGTATAAATCTTTCGCCTTTTAAATGCCATCAAAATTCATAGGAAGATGGCTAGTAATAAGGAACAAGGAGGCTGTAATTTGTCTATTTGTTTTCATGAATTCTGCCAAAAGAAAATATCTCACTGTATTATTTCATCCTCTTTTACATTACTCAAAGATAAAAGCCCTCCCTGATACGAAGGAGCCTACTGGATTGATGATGCTCATTAAAATCCCTGGGTTAAATAAGCAGGAAAAAAAGAGGAGGTGGAAATCCTCATAAACACTAACGTGACACAAAGCAAATTGCCAAGAGCCTTGACATGCTCAGCTGCAGAGGAGAAGCATTTCTCCCAACCTAAACACTGGGCCTGCTATATCGAGAACACAGGCACCTTCAGTTTCAAACTGAAGCACTGCCAGAGCCCTCAAAGCATGGAAAACTCAAGGAGTTTGAGTCCCTTCTTGCCCACATCACACACCCACAACTAGATATAGTTTCTCTCCCACAAACTCCAGCAGCAGAGAAAGGCGGCCTAAGTGGGGCCTCTTCCCCAGCCAAAGAAGCCACTCTGGGGCTGAGGGGCCAGCATATGGCCAGACTCACCGCAGAGCTGGGTGTGTAAGCCTTGGAACAGGCTGACCACCACTAGCTCTGTGTCCTTCTTCTCCCTTCTCCACTGCTTTCAAGTAATATTTGGGTAGAAGTCCTGGCTGTGTTAAAATACTATTCCCCAAAGCAGACCACAATAACCGTTAATTTCTTTGTGAGCTGTCATTATCTTGGTCTTTTCACTGGTGGAGGGATGGGTGTGGAAGGAGGGGCTGGCCCTGCTAATGAGAGATAGACAGACAGACAGATGGAGTGAAAGCATGGATGAGCGGTGGAGAGAGAGGACCAGAGACCAGGCTGGGAATCCAAGGCCCAGGTGCTCCTCCTAGCCATGACACTAACTAGCTGTTATGTCCCTGGACTTCAGTTTCCTCATATACAGAGTAAAGACCATGAAAATGTAGCCTCTTCCTCATGGGGACAGAGAAAAAGGCAAGAAAATTGAATGCATTGTATAAGCATGAAACATTACATCATACAGGGCATAAATAAAAGGCTCCTAATACTTCAAGCTTGGAAATCTGGTTTGTAAGTTTACTTCCTTCCAGCACAGCAAAGGAGGTACAGATAGGAGCAAGTAATGGAAAGAGAAAACTACTCTACTGCGGTAAGACCATGAGGTGATCACTGACAGTGGAGCAGCCCCTAGAACTACCGGCAGTAGTGTGAGGACCACACTGTAAGAGTAAACCAGCCTAAAACACCTCAGCTGGCCCAGAGACATCAAGACAAAGATCACTACTGTGCAATGTGGTGTGCAATGCTTGATTAAATTAGACTGCAATGGGAGATGGGGTAAGAAATCTCTTAGATTCCCCTAATATACTTGGCAACAATTAAGAGAGTAACGTCATATGGAAAAATATTTCACAAGAAATGCCTCCATTCCCTGATAACATAGTACCATCTACCTGTCAACTTACACACCACCTTCATTGTCATTATTACTGTCATTAATATTACCAGCACCTCTAGAGAGCAGAGCAGGGAGATAGTACCTCTCTTTCCCTCTGCAAAAATACATCCAAAGCAGATCTCAGTTTTCCCTGGGTTTCAGACTAGAAAAGGCTGGACAACACTGTTCTAAGTAAGGTTGGACAACAGTATTCTAGCTAACACTTCCATCAGCCTCTAAGCCCCTGAAAGCCTCTAAGACCCTGACAGTATGTATGAATATATGCAGAAATGGCAAGGGCACATTGTGTTGTGAATTCAAGCAGAAGTCAATGATGGATCATGGCTCTCAGTTGGAGAGAGGGAAGGATGACAACGTCCTGGAAAACTCCAGGCGTGTCATCTTTCCAGGAAATGAGAATGGGAAGAGGGCACAAGCCTAAAGATAGGCTTCAAAAAGGCTGCAGCTGACCTGAGGTAAGCCATCCCCAGGGTATGGACTGCCATCCAGAACTACAGTTACCACCTGGAGATTCCTGTGTCTCCCATAGCGGTATTTCGAGTTGAGGGATCCCATCAAATCCAGAAAGGGGCAGCAGTGAGAGAACAAATCAGAAAACACACAGCGTGTTCCAAAGTACAATGTGAGACAAATTTATATATACTTCATGCACTGTGGCACACCTGTTAGGTTTTGTTTGGTGATGCCAGCTCCTAGTCAAGAGGTGTAAAAATGATATCTAAAGTTCATGCCCCAGAGAGTACTTGATCTCATGCTAAAATCCCTAGGGAAAAAAGGAAAAGTTAGGATTCTCAGAGGCTACCGGAGAAGCATTAATTTAACGCTCCAAATTTAAACAACTTTTACTAATATCATAACATGAATTTTCAAATGCAAAAACTGGGAAGTACCCACAGTAGCACCAGAAATTAGAGCTGGAGAGAATGGGCCTCAGGCACCTGACCTACACAAATAGAGCATTTCCCCCCCCATGTTGCATGAATCCAAGTGAGTTCCAAAAGTCAAAATTAGCCTTACAAATTCCCACCATTTTTGGAATCATGATTGATCTACGATCTTAATCTTCCATTCTGAAACATCACTTTCTAGAGGTAGTGGTTCCCAAAATGGGATGAATGCCAGAATCACCTGGGAGCTTCCATGTGTTTACATTCATTCATTTATTCATTCTCGTTCTCATTCCTCCTGCTCCCTCCCTCCCTCTTTCCCTGTCCCTTTCCCTTTTCTTCCCTCCCTTCCACCCCCTGCTCCTTCCTCTTTCTCCAGCCTATCCTCTTTTAAACCTTGAATGAACTTAATGTTTGGGAAATATTTTATCACAGCATAAATTTCAATGTTATACTGACTCTGCTGTTCCAACTTTAAATAAATAAACCCAGGAGGACAGCTAGCTAATCACAATAAACATGATATAGTTACTCAATAGGCAAGAGAAATAATAGTGAAAAAGAAAGCAGCAACTTCTTTCATGCCCTCTAACTGGAGTTCCAAATAGTAACGTCTTCTGGAGTCAGCTGGTTTCTTAACTGGGATCGTCTTATTTCAACAATGGCTCCATCAAGAGATCTGAGGACACAGACCCAAGCATTTTCTACAATTCCACAAGTATCAATCTCTCTAAGAAAATGGACAGCACAACTTTCATTTTTCTCTTTAGAATCTACTCCATGTATAAGCACATATACTTGCCTTCCTGGCAGTAAAATATAAGGAAACTACAGTATGTGAGTTTTTGTTTTGGGGAAGGAAAATATCACCTCTGGGTTTCCAGCTCATCCACCTTATCAATCCCTCCTCTACACAGAAGACCCATGGCTTGTTCAAATCATCTCAGTCCCAGCCTTCTCAATTTTGTACTTTGTGACAAAACCCTGGTTTTAAACTGAGTGATCCTTTCGGTGAAAGCTGCATTTGGAACTTAAAAGAACTCACCCTCTTCTCATTCATGAAAAGAGTGAAAGGGCAGAGAGCCAGAAGGTTTCCATGTAACAAGACCCAAGACAAACATTTAGAGAGAAACAGATACCCTGCCACAGAGGTAGCAATCTTCTTGCAAAACTGTCATTTTATAAATTAGAAATAATTACAAGGAAACACGTTACAATGGTTTTCTCCTACCTGGATCCTCAGGCACATCCTTTGGTAAGGCTTCATTGAGAGTACTTTTCAAAGCTAGAGGTGTTTTGTTTCATTTTTCAGGAACAATAAAGAGAAAGGAAAGAAAAAAAATCTATGAAATTTTATTTCTGACACACGTTACATTGAAACAAAGAATTCCCAGTCATCATAAAAACATGTCTGGCAAGCCTCTAGGAATTGCTATAACATTTCCCAGAACAATAAAGACCTCTTGAAATATGAAAATAGGTTCTTGCCTTATTTTAGACTAAGGATGTACAGGTATTTTCAGCTTTCCAGAGAGCCTCTAGTGGTTAGTAAGAGTATTAGCAGGAAGTACAGGAACTCCCTCTCCTCAATTCCTGACGGGCAGATCAAGGACAAGAGATTGTCTAGGAGTGGAAATCAGGCCTCAATGTTTTTATATCTTGTACAGGGTTTCCACTGTGCAGTCAAGGTGAAAGTCCACCGGTTAGGACAGTGATCAGAGTACATGAGACTACAGACAATCTCTAGTTCCACCTGCCTCTACTGAGCAAGTATTTACATAGAAAGCAAGAAATTATTGCTGCTCATGAAAAATGTATTTTTCATGTTTAACCCCTAAACAAATATGCATCGATGTCAGGTCTCAACAATAAAAACTGAAATGGCTTCACTTCAGATAAGCTCCTCTCATTCATGTGCAGTGACACAATCTCAGAAAACAGATGGAATACTGGCTTCAGATTTTAAAAATCTTAGTTCTTATCCCAGTTCTTTTTCTTTTTTGCACAAGCAAATGGTTTGCATTGAACTTTAGTTTATTTGTCTCCAAATTTTAGGTGATAAAACATACCAGTCTGTGGTGACTGAATAAGACAGTCTATGAGGAAGGACCGGGTAGATTGCAAAGCATTCTAGAAAGTATGGGGGTTGGAAGAGAGGGTCCTTCCTACACAGCTAGATATTGCAGGGCAACGCATCCCTGTGTCTAGTTGTAGGTCTAACATGAAATACTGCGGCATGGCTTCTCAGCTGCCTCATTAGCAGGACAAACTGTGGTTGGGCTCCATGTCACATTCCCGTTCTCACAAAGTTACTCAGAAACAGATAAAGCAGTGGGACAGGAACTCTATCCAAAAGAGAACTTTCTCACGGATTAAACCTGTGCACTAAGGTGCACTTACACTGACCTTAGATCACATCTACCAACACAAGATATTAACCCCTCAACTCTTTGTATTTCTAAGCATTTCCTAACTCAGAGCCAGATTCCAGTATAAGGTGTCAAAAAACTCTGGGTCAAACTATAATTGACCAATGAAAAAAAGAACCAATGAGTTGGGGGAATTTGGACACTCAAGTTCTTGCTATCACTTTATGAATTAGTTTTATGGCAACAATTTGAACTACTTAATCTATCCAAATGCATTTATATACTGATGACTGTCTTCACATGCTCTAGAAGCCAGGCTTCCAAGAGAAATTAGATAAAGAAACAGAGGAAAAGTGTCTTTAAAGGAAGAAAATGCATTCACTGCATACCTTGTTTGTCATCACCAGTCATGTCTTGGGTAGGAACGGGAAAATCAGTCATGTCTTTAACAGATGTCTTCTTGGAAAAGAAAAGTAAATGAATTATACAGGTTGGAACAGAAATTAAGTGATGTGCACATATGATGAAAATGTTTTAAAAGCTGTACTTCTTGCCAAAATTTCTATCTTCAGTAAGTCCTGACATCTAATACTATTTTATTGTTTTAGTTTCTTAGTGAGGTATAAGTTAATTTGTACTGAAATTTTTATATACACAGAGGAAAAAAAATCATGATCCAGAGCAAGACACATGTATAGATCCTACATTAGGTCTGAATCTGGACTGAGATTCATCCAAAGAATTGCACAGCATTTGTCCAGTCAGGCTTTATATACTTTTACACAAGAAGAGAGGTTCTGGTAAGTAGCCAATAATGTGGCTATTTGCTAGGATGGTGGTGACGCACCTATGGCATGTGTGTCACAGCAGGTTGTTTGTTATCATTGAAAGCTCTAAAAGGTCTGCCATCACTGTGCTAGGATCTGTCATGCAGGTGTCAAACTGTGTGTGATTAAAATACCTACCTTGCCATGGAGTACGAGAATTGTATTGATGAGCAGATCAAATTTTTCTCTTAACTCACATATAAGGGAAGTCCTCACTTACACTAATAAGATAAATACCTAAATTGGACAAGTATGAATTTGTTTAAACTCTCTGATGAATTTATTTCTTATACATAAACCCTTAACATGTACTTTCTACAGTTAATAAGAGTGTATGGTACATCTGAAAATTACTGAGGGATTTTAAATGTTCTCACCACAAAAAAGGATAATGCTGTGATGTGATGGGTATGTTAATTAGCTTGATTGTGGTAATCATTTCATATTGCATGTATCTCAAAACATCATAAATGTATATAATTTTTCTGTCAACTATACCTCAATAAAGATGGGAAAAAATATGTACTCTAAGGTTCCTAAGTAGGCTAAGTTAAAGACTAATATATTCATATTTGCTTTATTTATATAGGCAAACTCTGGAAAGATATCCAAGAATGGAAGGTTGACTTATTAGATGAGGCAAAGGTATAATAGGAAGACTTGTCACCAAATGCCTTTTGATTGTCTTTATATTTTAAACATTCTCAAAAATCAAATATGGATTAAATTTTAAAACTCAAGGACAGTAAATTCTTGGAACTGTTTGATTACCACTTGGAACCCAGATAACCCCAGGGAAATAAGCAACGTTTCTGTTTTTAAACTGTTCCCAAAAGCAAGGTTACAGTACTACTTGCTGACCTATGATTTAACCATGCTCAGGCAGGTAATTCTTGGCACTAAAATGAACCCTCAAGACATAATTTCCTATTCCAAATCTATTATTACCAGTAGAGTAGACAATGTGTCTTAGTAGTGTATTTCTTTCACTATCTTCTCCCACCTGGATTATAAATTAGTTTCCTTCACAGAAAAAAATTACTTAGAAATAGACAGTATAAGCCGGGCACGGTGGCACACACCTGTAATCTGAGCACTCAGGAGGCTAAGGCAGGAGGATCATTGCAAGTTCGAGACCAGCCTGTGCTACAAAGTGAGCTCAAGTCCAGCCTGAACTGCATAGTGAGACCCTGTGTCAAAAAAAAAAAAAAAAAAAAAAAAAGGAATAGACAGCATAGATTTTAAAGTCAAAAGTAAAATATATAGGATATAGCTCAGCGGCAAAGCACCTGCCTGACAAGTGCAAGGTCCTGAGTTTGATCCTTGGTACCAAAAGAAAGAAATGCAGAAAATAAAATTGGTGAAAAACATTAAAAACCTAAACAAATACAATGACATCCCATGCTCATGGGTTCCCAGAACACTGATTAAGATAGCAGTCCCCTCCAAACTGATCTACGGATTCACTGCAAATCTCAGGGGTTTTTTGGTAGAATTTGACAAGCTTCTCCTAAACTTCATAAGGAAATGCACAGGGTCCAGAGTAGCCAAAATATTCTAGAAAAAAAAATAAAAGACTCACACTTCTGATTTCAAAATGTACCACAAACTTAACCATAACTAAGATAGTGTGGTACTGACATAATCATAAAATTATAGATAAATGGAATAGAATTGAGAATCCTATAATAAATCTACATATTTAGAGGTGATTCATTTTTACCCAGAGTGCAAGACAATTCAATAGGGAAAAACTATCTTTTTAATATGTGGTAATGAGACATCCAAATATGCACATACAAAAGAATGAAATTGTACCTCTTCTTCAGAGAAACACAAGAATCACACCAAAATGGATCATAGGACTAAACATAAAACCTAAAACTATAAAACTCTTAGAAGAACATATGAGAGCCTTCACATTCTTACGTTAGGCAATATTTTCTTAGATATGATACCAAACCAGTCAGAACACTTACAACTCAATAGCTATAATAATCCAATTTTTAAAAAGACAAAGGATTTGAATAGACATTTCACCAAAGAAGAGACACAACAGCTAATACACATATGAAGAGATGCTCAACCTCAATAGGAAGTTCAAATTAATACCACAATGATAGCCCTTCAATCCACTAGGATTACTTATATATAAGAGACACAATAATAAGTGTTAGAAAGGATGTGGAGGAGGTGGAACTTCATACATTGTTGATGTGAGGCTGTAAAATAGTATAGCCTCTTTGAAAAGCACTTTGGCCATTCCTCAGAAAGTTAAACACAGAGTTATGGTACAATCCACAATTCCACTCTTAGGTATGTTCCAAAGAGAACTGAAAACGTATGTCCACACAAAGAGTTACACATGTGTGTTTACAACAGCATTGTTAGTAGTAGATAAAAAAGGAAAACAACATAAATGTCCATTCACTGATGAATAAACAAACAAAATGTGGCATATCCATACTCTGAGTACTATCTAAGCAATAAAAAGGAATGCAGCACAATAAGTGCTAGAACATGAGTGAACCATAAAAATATTATGCTAAGCTGGGTGTGGTGGTACACACATGTAATCCCAAAGCTCTGGGAGGCTAAGGCAAGAGGATCACAAGTTCAAGCCCAGCCTGGGCAACTTACCGAGACCTTGTCTCAAAATAATAATAAAAGAGCTGGGATGCAGTTTAATGTCAAGGCCCAGTGTTCAATCCCCAGTACCAACCCCTCTACACACACAGAGAGAAAAAATATTAAGAGAAAGAAGCCAGTCACAAAACACCACATACTGTATGATTACATTTATATGAAATGCTCTGCATAGGCAAATTCAGAAACAAAAAATAAATTAGAAATTATTGGAGGCTAGTGGAGAGGGGAATGGCAAATGATTGCTAATGAGTGTAGGGTATTTCTTTGGTGTGATAAAAATGCTCTAAGACAGGGCTGTGGTGATAGGTGAACAACTCTGCTAAAGCACTAAGAGCCACTGGAATTGTATATTTTAAGTGGGTATAGTATGTCATTTATTTCTCAATAAAGTAATTTTTAAAAAAATATATCCAGTAATCTAAAAAAAACCACTGATAACAAGGAATAAACTAATTACAATCTATAATTCTTAATGAAAAGAAGCACGGGATTACAGCTCTGCTGTCTTTAGAAAAAGATGAACTGCTATGCAAACTTCTCAAAACCTAGACCTCAATTAGCTATAGGTTTGGTCACAACATAAACACCTATACCATACTGAAGCCCTCATTCACAAAGCTGGTACCAAAAGCTAAACTCCATGCAGTCATGATAGATGAAAAACTCACAGAAAGAACAATGAGCAATAACTTAGAAGAGTGGAAAATACTTCATCATTAGCTATTAGAATATGACCTATATGTGTTGATGGCCAAGCCCTCAATTAATCTTACCACTCATCCTTAAATTCAATTTACTACATTCAGTATCTAAAAACACCTCATCCTCAAAAATAACAATGTAGTTAGAAAAAGGGGTTTTTATTGTTCTTTTGCTTTCTTTTTCAAACCAAAAGAAGACTAGGTAGTTTTCAACCCTTTCTTCCCTAAAAAGGCAGGAAAGGTATACAGAAATGTATGAAACTAACTACACATAACATCCACAAAGGTGTGTTACTGTCATATAGGGTGTGTGTTTGTGTGTCTCTGTGTGTGCATGTGTACATGTGTGTATACATGTTTTTGTTTTGTTTTTTCTTTTGTCTTTTGAGATAGGGTCTCGCTATGCAGTTCAGGTTGGCCTTGAGCTCACTTTGTAGCCCAGGCTGGTCTCAAACTTGCAACGATCCTCCTGCCTCAGCCTCCCGAGTGCTAGGATTACAGGTGTGCACCACCATGCCCGGCAATGTGTGTATACGTGTGTGTGTGTGTGTGTGTGTGTGTGTGTGTGTGTGTGTGTGTGTAACAAGCCTATGGCTGCCTGTATATCTGCTCTTTCCTTTTAGACAGATGATAAATGACGACATGAGTCTGCAACATAGTTTCTACCAAGAAGAAAAAAATACTGCATTATCTGTCTGTATTGGAAGGGCAGAGACCATCTAATACCATGATAAATTGGAACAATCTCTTCATATAGAAAGATAAGAATTTAGATGACATTTTTAGGAAAATCACCTCATGACTTCATAATGTTCCTCAAGCAGAGGGTCATGGCACACACATTAAAACCCCTCCCACGGGGCAACTGGTCGGAGAGCTATGGAGTTATCGACCCTGGCTTGATAGACAAACCTCTTCAGAGAATGCCAGACCTCAGAGTAAACTGAGCACCATAGAAAGCAGAAAAATATTGCATCTACTTTGTCATCAAATACATTCTGCGGAAAAAGAAATTGAAAAAAACAAAATTCTTCAAATGTATATACAGTACCTCGTTCTCCCTGAAATCACTTTTCTTCACATCTTTTTTTGGCGAGTAGAACTCTGCTGAGGAAAGTGCCATAAAGGCTACAAGTCAAAGAACGCACAGCAGAGCGGCAAAGGGAAATACTAATCAGAGGGAGTCCCAGAAAGGCAGGCTTGGCTGGCTGGGGATTGCCAAGCACAACATCATTAACACACGCTATAGGCTTGAGAGTGCCACGGGAGAGGGTAAATAAGCCCGCAGAGTCCTGAGAAATGAAGAAATATCCCTATATCCTGCCTTTAACTTCTACCACCTTGTATAGTTGCAACTCATTTCAGGGAGTTCTAACGAGAGCCAGGGAATAAAGTCCATTTATTTAAGCATTTCCATATTCTGATTTGATCATTAGAATGCATATATATACTGACTGATTGCACTGTATCCTATAAATATATACAAGTATTATTTGACAATCAAATCTTTTAAACTTTTTATAATACTTCCACACTGGCGAACAGGGAGTATCAAGGATCCAGCCTAGGGTCTTCCACATGTTAGGCAAGCACTCTACCACTGAACTACACCCCTACCCTGATTCTAGGTATTTTATTTTTAGGAAGGGAGCAGCAGGTATCATAGCAACCAAAATATGGTGAAGATAATGACAGAGGTAATGATAATAACAACTATAACAACTCTTACTTATTGATTCATAGCTAAGGATCACTACACATGGCTAAGCCCTTCTTCTATCATTGGCCCAACACTGTAGGATTGGGGGATCATCCAAATCAGTTCTGCTTTGGTCAATAAGTTAAAAACACTGAGGGAGCTCTGAATATGATTTGGGGCCCCACATATAGATATGTAGTTCTCAAATCTCTTTTCAAAATTACTGTGGTTCACTTTACCCTGCAAATGCCCAGCTACTAAAAATTCAACTTATTTTACTCACTAAGGAATTAAAGCTTGGTTAAAGTAAGTTGGCTAGCATTTTCTGGCTTAGTTTGGCTATATCTAAATATCACTTCTGGACAGTCAAGAGATGTTACTTACTTCATCAAATCTAGTTTTAGGGGAAAAAGAAAAAATAATGACACATCCAGTCTACAGATTTGAAAAGCCAATCCTCAAACTAATTATCAAGTGTGAAGAGAAAATGTTATAAAGGTTCCTTTTCCTAAGTTTGTAAAGAACATAAGCTAATCATTTAATTCTCTACACACCCTTATTTATTAAGATAGAGAGATCCTTTACCTCCATCCGATTCAGGTCACGGGCTTGTTGGCTTATCGGCACTGACTCAGAGTAAGAATCAAATAATGCACACTCCCACTTGGGTTTAGGAAAAGCTAAGAAGAAAGAAAAAGAACACATAATATACTACAGCCACAGTGCTTGTTCCTATCAGCTTTTCTATGCTTGCTAAATATAACAATATTAGTTAGTTCTATTATAGTACCAGTAACACTAATCATGCCTAAGTAGTATTGTAAGTTCTTTACTATCACAACCCCATACTTCTGTGATCCTTGTTTTTACACATGATGAAACTGAAGAACAGAGAAGTTAAGCAACTTACTCAAGGTTATATAGGTAGTAATAAAGAGCAGAGACCTGAATTCCTAACTGTGTCTTTAGAACTTCACGATATAACACAGCTGTCATCTCTCTCTCTCCCTCCCTCTCTCCCCCCTCTCTCCCCACTCCTCCTCCTCCTCCTCCTTCTTCTTTCTCTCTTTCTTTCTTTCTTTCTCTCTCTCTCTCTCTCTCTCTCTCTCTCTCTCTCTCTCTCTCTCTCTGTGTAAAACCCAGGGGTTCCCTCTTGCTAGACAAGCACTCTACTACTGAAATACATTCTCAGCCCTTTTCATTTTTTATTTTGAGATAGAGTATCACTAAATTGTCCAAGATGGCCTCAAACATGGAATCTCCCTGCCTCAGCCTCCAGAGTAGATAGGGTTATAGGCCCACCACAAACAGCTCCTCATAATCATTTTCTGATGGAGACCACTATGAAGCAGCCTCAAGCAGGACTTACATTAACCAATTCGCTTTTTATGTTTACTTGTGAATCTGTACAAAGCCTAGGCTGCTTGTCTGGAAGTGGGCAATGGACTCATAGTAAGTGAACCTCTGTGAGTCACTAATCCCTACTAAAACCTGTAATGGCAGAAGAAGCCGGAAAGCCTCAAAGGATAAGACAAGATCACAGCCAAGGACACCTGGATCCCATCTCAACTAGATAAAGACTATAGCCCCAGGCATCTCACTCCTGGGTGGATTAACTTAATCTTTATTAAGGATTAATTTAATACCTTACTTGGAGAAGTCCTTGAGTAATTCCGGTCTTCTTGAGTACTCCCCCTCCCTTCTTCTGGTAACCAAACAAATACAGGCCACCAGGCCACCCAAAGAAGGTCTTAGTCTTATCCCTGAGAGAATCTCGACTTCTGTGAGAAGGCTTTGATCCTCCTGTAGCCCTGAAATAATTCCATTTGCCTCTTTTTATCTGGCCTTTACCATACACTCATTCAGGAGATTGAGGGCCTGACCAGCATTAAGAACCCTGGGTTATTATTAATTTTCCATACTAACCGTCACTCACACTCACCATGTTAACTATTATCTATGCTACTAGCACAATTGTTAAATGTAGTAACCATGGTAATAGTTTGAACTATGAATAGTAACTAAGAAAATACTTCATTTTAGCTATTATTGGAAATAAACAAGACTTACAATGATGTATGTCCAAGATAATGTTATGAAATGCTTACTTCCTTAGTTAGCAGGACTAATAAAAATAAAAGCATTAATTCTTACCAAATTTAAAGGAAATAAGAATCACATGCTGGGTTTCTTCCAACATACAAGAGTGAGAGTGGCTGTTAGTTGGGTCGCTGGATGAATTAGCATGAGGAAAACACCATGCAACTTGGTAAGCTCATTACCTAACAACCAGCTATTTCTTAGAAGCAGATTCTGCTTTACCATTTCTGTCATAAAGTAATTAAGACAGAAATATTTCAACTAGAAAATTGGTCAAAATTCTGAAGAGGAAAAGCATTTAGAGCAGATAATAAACAGAATCTACAAATTAAATTTGTCAAGCAAGCCACTAGGAAGTCCAAATTTTTATTGCTATATGTCTGGGATACATAATAATTACATTCATTGTGGGAAAATGGTGCATATATACATTTGTATCTTGATCATTTCCATAATCCTGCCATCCCCTCTCCCCATTTCCTCTCATCCTCTTGCCCATGTCCAGTAAGTCTATTTCCATTTTCTACCAACTCCTCTTAATTTTACTATTTAATTAATTTATATTTGTGTTTCTCATATGAGGAACCAAGTGATAATTAATCTTCTGCATCTGACTTGTTTCACTCATTATTTTAATCCAGTGCTTCAAAGAGAATTTTAATCAAATGTGCAAAATGGATTGACATTGTCTTTAGTCCTTATCCACCTGCACTAGGGACTGAAATGCCAATGCTGCTCTGCAGTAAAGTACTGGTCAGGGTAACAGGAATCCAAATGGATTTTAGTTCATGTGCTTACCAGAGTCTGAACTTCATAAATCTCAAATGGGGCAAACCACGGGCCCTGCTGATTTTTCTCACTCTGAGTTCTGCTTCCATGGTAAAAACTCAACACCTTCCAAAGCACCATTCTTCAATCCAGCCCCAGAAGTAGTTTTACCCAATATTGGAATTTTCTTTCTAGTCTACCAATTTAGTGCTCTGGCTAGAACTATAAGACCAATGTCTTATGATGGGAAGGTCTCATGTAGAAAGTGAATGTTTTCCAAAACCAGGAGTAACAACTGCTAAATCTCTCTCCAATGTATCTATATCTCTCCATCTCCACTGTCACCTCTCCAGGGTGAGTTCCCACTACTCCTGACAGGACTGCTGTTAAACTCTCACAGTTTCCATTCTTGTTCAACACCTGCTTTCTTAAGGGAAGCCAGCCTGGTCATTTCAGACAATCTGATTTATTACTCTCCTGCCACTGTGTTATGGCTTGTGTGTAGATGTACCCCCAGAGCCTCATGTAGTCATAGGTGGGGCTTTTCAGAGGTGGCTGGTTCTAGAGTGTGTGATGCTGGGGTCAAGGGTGTGTGATTATTAAATTAGTCCACTGACTGGTTTGGCATAGTTCTGGGTAGGATTAAGGGTGTCCCACCGTGGGTGTGAGTGCTACCTACCCTTAGGGAATACAATATAAAAGGGACAGAAAAAAATCTGTCCCTTGTAACTTGGTTGCTGCCTTGATGCCTACTGCCTGCCATGAACTTTTTCTCCTCTGCAACGTCCCTTTGCCATACCACCCAGCCTTGGAGCCAGCCAACTAGGAACTGAACCCTCTACAAACTGTGAACCAAATAAACCTTTCCTCCTTTAACTTTGGGTGTCAGGTATTGTATCTCAACAACAAGAAAAGTAACTAAGACATACAGATCAAAGTTATTGCCCACCATGTGCTCCCTACCTTCCTCTCAGCCTCCCCTGAGGCCTCTCATCCTCACTCTGTGCACTCCAGGCAGTGTGGCCTGAAATACCTGTTTGTCCTGAGTTCCTAGTCCCTCGCAGTGCTCTCCAGCATACCTGTTGTCCCCTCTTCAGAGAGCCCTCTCTTGCCCCTTCTTAGCTCCAAAGCCCTTAGCTCTTTTTCCAAGAGAGCACCTCCATCACATCTCAACACTGATAGTCAAGTATTCCCTGAGGTCATATATGCCCTTGCTGCACCTGCACCCTCTTAAAGCATTTAGTCCTGGCTCCAATTACGCACATGTGAACTTATTTAACATCTATCCTCCAACCACCCACAAGTGCCATGCAGTAAAAACTCTTTCATAGAGCATTCTCACCACAGAGAATAACAGTGCCTCTCACACAGTAAGTATTCAGTAGTTTTATTAACAAACTGTGCAGCAAAAAAATTTCTACCAGAATCCACCCAGTTACCTGAGAACATCAAAGGGATCACAGGTAATCCACCAAACAACCCAATTTGTCCTTCCAACTCTGCCTTTTAACCTTCACTGTTAGGGAAAAGGGATTGTTTCTATTATTACAAGTAAAATGGCATCATATACAATAATCGTTTATTTTAACAAAAGCTTATGTTATTTTAAATACATGATAGCCTCAACTGGATTTATGCTCTTCAATAATCTTGTTGAAAACTGCATCTTTTTGAAAGGCTAAATATGGATGAATTAGAAAAATGCTGGAATATGATAAGTAAGCATTTTTAAAAAGCAAAATGGGGTTCCATAAAAACAACAGAAAAAATGAACAAGACCATTCATATTTTTCAAAGGGTCTAAAAGCAAAAAGAAGAACTAGATAGTTCTGGCCTTTTCTTAAGCTTCATACAAAGAATAACATGGATGATTAAAGCATTTAAAAATTAACTGTTAAATCCTCAAGGTTTGCCTAAAATACACTGCCGCTGAGTTTGATGGGGTTTATGAGGTCTCTCATGTTTTCTGTTAGAACTATATAATTATTATTTAAGATAAAACCCACAATCTCAGAAAATGATGTTCATGTCTTACGTAATTGGACAGTATGTGATGAAGTCTTCAGTTATTCCTGTATAAATGCATGCTGACAGTCTCCATAAAAATCAGAGAAACAGGGGCTGGGGATTTAGCTCAGCGGCAAAAGCGCCTGCCTGGCAAGCGCAAGGTCGTGAGTTCGGTTCCTGGTACCGGAGAAAAACCAAAAAAAAAAAAAAAAAAAAAAAAAAAAAAAAAAATCAGAGAAACAAGAGGCTCTATTCCAAGTGATGGACGTGAATCTTGATTAGTACTCTTTTTTATAGCCTTCCTTCTACTGAATAAGCAAGTCAAGAGGAGCCATCTTCAGCAGTAAAGAAATTAAGAGGTTCTTCTTTTTAACAACTTTTAATTTAGGACTTTCAGATTTCTAAAAATTACATCAGTGACTTTTGAAAAAGTCCACGAACCACTTGTGCACCTTCAAAATGACTTCTCAAGCAAGAAGTCATGATATGTGGCATAGGCTCCAAAACAATAAACCAGCATTAATGCACACCAAAATGGAAAACTAAGTATGGCCATGGGAGACGAGGTTATCTAGGACTCGGCCCAGGGCCAGAGCGGAAACTGTGAAGGTACTGAGTATAAGTAAGTAATCCTGGAGCAGACTTTGGTCTTTTGGCCAGCTGTTAATCCCTATTAGAGAGAGACAAAGGCCCCGGAACCCCAGAAGAAGGGCTTCCTCTGTGACCTGCACTGCCTTGGTAATAGGAGCCATGTGGCTGCCAGGTCAGCCCCAGGAACATCAGAGCTTCTTTGTTGCAATTCAAGAGAAAAAGAAGGGAGGGAGGGAGGGAGGAAGATAGGGAGAGGGAATGGGAGGGAGACAGGAAAAGGAGAGGGGAAGGGATACGAAACAATGAAAGAATAAAGACAGAAGAGAAGAGAGATAGACACTGAAGAGGAAAGACAAGTTTACTATGCTGCTCAATTGCAAACTAATTCACAAGGACCCATGAAGGTCTTCCCAGCCTTGAAGGAAGGGCAGCAAGCTAGAGTTACAGCCTACTACAGGCAAAAGGCAGCTGCTGTTAGCAAAGTCCCAGCCCTGAAATCAATAGTTAACTCTTCTCTCTGAACTCTACCTTCCATATTCATTTTAGAATTTGAGAAAATTTTATAGGGTCATTTGAGAAAATCTGAAAATGGGCCACTCTGCCTCCAACATGTTCACCTGTCACTGTCACTAGCCACATGCTGGTCTCTTCCCTTTGGCTGAACTTTTACCCCTTCCTTACCTAATACAGAAAATATTAAGAGTCAGGGACCACAAGACTGACTTAGATGAGACATAAGCCCTTTCAATCTGGTGCCATCATGAGGAGGGAACTGTACGAGATAATCTAAGGTCTCTCCAAAACTACTCGCAAAAGCCATAGTCCACTAACAAGTAGTTACAGTTTCTTTAGACACACTCCCTCTTGCAAATAATGACCTATGACTAAGCTCTCATTTTAAAAGAGAGCTTTAAAATTTTTCTCATTGAGGGAAGTAAAAGCTCCAGCTGTTTCTGGACCCTTTCAATGAAAACTACACTTCTCTGAATAACAGAAATCAGACGAGTGCCCACTGACTCTGAAGAGGGCAAGTTGTACTCCTGATCTTTCCAATCTTCCAAAGGAATTCATACAAACGTTGGACTTCCCATGACCCTTTCCTATCCAAACAGTTCAAAACATTTGTTTTGAGATGACTGTTTTATTAAGGAGAAAGACAAAAAGAGTTACATTTCAACCATCTGGTGTGCTGGCATGATTATTTATATATATATTCTTATATTACATGGATATATACATATATAAAAATTCACTGAATGTACATTTAAGATTACAACATTGTGCACATTTCACTGCACGTAATTTTTAACTTTTCAATTAGGCATAAAAGTTCTACTCCATTCCACTAGCCAAGGCCACTTGGAGATACTGCGACAGTAGTGGCAAACCTATGGTACACATGCATAAGCCAGGCGTTTCTATCACTGAAAGCTGTAAAGGTTTGCTATCACCACACTAGGACATGCCCCAGTTTGTACTTGGCTCTATAAACCTTCCTTTTCATATTTTATCAGTTAGGAAGTTCAGTATTTGTTTATTCCATAGTTCTCACACAAGCGTAAGTAAGTGACTTTGGTTCCAATCCATTCAGAGGGGATCAGCATAAGAAAAACCAGTAATTCACACCTACCCATATGAGCCCTATTATTCACATTATAAGCTGTAAAAATCAAAGTTAAAGAAAAATGACTGCACATACCAAAGACTCTCCAGTGTCCAGACAGCATTTTAAAACATAAAACCTTCTTAATTAGACCTCCATGGCAAGTGTCTGAAATTTAGGATATACAATGAAGCCTTACCTGCTTGCAGGTACTCTGGTTGCAGAGTTGGAGGAAGGCCCTCGGGTAGTGGGTAGCCGTTCTTCCGGGCCACAATGAGATGAAATGCAGCACAGAACTCAGGCAGGGTCAGGGCTCCGTCACAGTCAGCATCACTAAGTTCCCTAGACATAAAAGATGTCATTAGTACCTGCCATGAGAGTCAGCCTCAAACCTGCAGACAGAATTCCCAGGCTCCGTCTTACAACACAGACAATATGGCACAAGAAACTCTCGCATAAAAAGAAAAGCAATGCCTGCATATACCCAGTTAGCGGACAGTCATTCAATAAGTGCAGGCTGCATGGTGTGAAGAGCCCAACTTATCACTTGGAACAGGCAGAGGAGGCTTCGACCCAGTCATTAGGCAAGTTACCCAGAACACAGGAGTGAATAGATGCTTCATTTCTCAGCTCTGAGGGAAAACCTTGAACTTTCTATATCATGTACATTTTTGTAGCAAACTGTTCTTTGCTTGAAAATTCCCTCGTGGGAAAATACAAATAATCTCAGTAAATATTCACTGACGTATGTTTTAAGATAAAACTAGCAACTAGGGAAGGCTGGAACCAGATAAGACAAAAAGAAAGAAAGGGAGTCTTGAAAAGGCTTATCTTCACTTCAGTCACTGTTTCCCACTGAAAAGCACAGACCTGTGTACTCAGCACAAAAGAAACCTATTCACCGAAGGAACTAAGAGCCCATAAGCTCCATCTCTCAGGGTCCAGAGGCAAAGATACCTGTACCGAGACAGGTGCAGATTCAGGGCTTGCGCGAGGCTATACTGGAAAGGTGCTACCATTAGAAAGAAAATAAGCTCCATAACTTCCCTTTACATCCTCCTGCTCTCCTGCTCCCTCCTCCCCATCCCCCACCTTCTCCCCTCTTCCTCCTCCAATTTAGAAAGCACCAGCCCTGAGACAGCTGCTTCCCAGGCTAAGACCTCAGGGAACTGCTTCAAAGGCCTGATGGAAAGAACACCATTTGGCCTTCATAAATCTGTCTCGACAAAAAAAGATAGGAAGTCTCATGCCCATAATATTAAAGCTTGGAATTCTGCCAAAACAGGCTGTATATTGTTTTCAAAATGATAGTTTCTTTTTTCCTAGCTTTAAAATCTAATATAAGGACTGTTGTAAAAAAAATGGTGCCAGAGTATAATTTTTGTTTAAAGAACCTAAATCCAGTTCAGAATCCCAGATACACTGGCATGTGTGAGTGTTGCTGAAATAATTTTTCAATAAGATGCACAAAACATGACCTGTAATTGTAAATCCTATCATAATTTTTGTGAATCCTCATGAAAAAAGCTTTACATAAATATCCCAATGTTTTAATGATATATTTATAGGAGGACGAACTCCTGCCCAGTCTTGGGAAAAAACTAGCCTGCACACAGCCAAGAGTTTATGATGCTGAGCATTTTCATAGATGCAAATAGAGCCATCTGGACCATGTCAGCATCGCCCTTCTGGAGCTTAGAGCTATGGCAGGCTCTTCAGCAAGGTTCGGCAAGGGCACTACAGCCTCAAGGCTGGATTAGGGCCCAGCCGAGAAGCACTGGCCAAATTTAGGAAGCTAAGAGGCAGCTAGGATAATCAGATTTCACTTATTTCCAAAATGTTCCTGGACTTTTTGTTCACCTAGCCTTATAAAACATTATAAAGAATAGCTTTTTAAGGTCCTCTAGTTATTTGTCTCAGCCCTATTAGAAAAATCTAAAAATAAAATATGTAAGACAGAAAGTCTCAATGCCCACCACTGCCTAGACCGAAAGGGACTGAGATGGGGATAATAATTAGGAAATTATTTTAATAGTCAACACTTATGGTGCATAGTGTGTGCTAGGTACTGTTGATTGCGCTTTTCACATGATAACGTATTTAACCTTTACAGCAACAAAAATCTGTGTTGTACACTCCCTTAGTCAGTTAAAAAATTCATTCAAGGGCTGGAGATTTAGCTCAGTGGCACAAGCACCTGCCTGGCAAGCGCAAGGTCCTGAGTTCGATCCCTGGTACCACAAAATAAAACAAAACAAAAAAAACCATTCAAAAAATAAGCCTCTTATAGATGCTAAAGGATGAGTATTATGGTATATGTTACTATGGGCAAGAATTGTACTCACCATATATAAGAGAGTTCTGGAATGGAAAGCTTCGACTTGGTGAAGAAGTTCTTGGCCACAGAGCCTGTCAAAAGCCGTTGTTTAAATAAAGCATTAATGATTTAGGTAGGGAAGATTTTATTTTTATATGTAAATTAATCACCATTTTTTTCATTCAGCAACTCTACCATATAGCCATAAACACAACTAAAAATCCCAGAAGTAAGACCAACCTATGGCTTGCCTACTGTGGGCAAGGTCCTGGGTTCAAGCTCCAGCACCATTGGGTTCAATAAATAAATAGAAATACAAGGAACATATGAACAGCTTCTAAAACAATATATAGATTAGAATAGGGCAAAAGAAGTAATGACATATTCTGCATGACAGATACAAATCACATAAATGAATTCCTGCTTTGTTCTTACCAAAAAAATTACAAAATTTTACTAAAAGTTCAATAGACAAATTTCAAAATTATTTGAGTGAAAATATATTAAGCATTTACATTAAAAGGTGGAAAGGTAATGTACAGTCATCGTAGAAAAATGAGCAAGAAGAAAATTAAAACCAATGGTGTCACTAACAGACATCTTGGGAAATATTTTTGGTGACGTTTAAGGTCTCTTGGTAGCTTTTGGAGGACTTTGTCCAGGAATTTTTCTTTAGTCGCTGTAAATTTACCTACACCAAGTGAAGACAGGCAATCATCCCACTGTAATGCTGTGTAACTGAGAGTCCCACCTGCACTGGGAATGTGAGTCTTCACTAATATTCAACTTTTTTATGCTTTGAGCTCTCAACACAGTTTCGCAGTTCAAAGGCCTCAATTCTAATTAACTATTCTAAAGAACAGTTCAATCAAAGCTCCAACCTCTGTTCTAAACTGATAAAGCCAAAAGTTTTTCCATGCCAATCACAAGTCTTCTAAATGGCCTTAAAACAATGGATTATACTGGGCCCTAATTCAGATTTATTTTCCTTCCATAGATTATCAAGGATCAAAAGCAAACTACACCATAAACCAATGAGCCCTCTCCCCAAAAGTGTCCTGGAAATAATGTTGATACACGACTCTTGGCCAACACTGCAACACCTTCTCAAACATTTGTCAGAACTGTCAAATACAAGCCTGCTGACCAGCTATTTTACACATACAGAGACACCTTCCTCTCGTGAAAGTTTCATTTCCCCCTGCCTCTCCTTTCTTGCAAGCACACTAGATACACAAACCCACAGACAGAGACCTGGGTTGGCCTGTAGAGAGTAGCACCACGCCTCAGAAAAGTTAGGTGAAATCCATAGGAAGCTGAAAGCTAACAAGTTCAGTTGTGCCTTTGCTGCTGCCACCAAAGGAGGAAGCTGAGGAGAAAGCCTGAGTGCTTCCTACTTTGACACTGACCGTGTGGGAAGTACAAACTGTGCCCTGAAACCCGCACCCCAGCCCTGTTGCCACCCACTGAAAACAGGCATTCCATTTATAAGCAAAGCCTACAATACGTAAATCCACAGAGAGAGGAAGTCTATGACTGGTTACTTAGGACTACAAGGTAGGAAGGGCTCAAATAACTGCTGCTACGTTGGTCACTCAGTGGCTGGTAATGAAAATGTTCTACATTTAAATTGTGAATATACTCTGTGAATATAATAAAACTATTGAACTGCTCACTTTAAATGGTGAAGTTCATGGTATGTGAATCATATATCAATGAAGAGGTTCTTTTAAAAAAGAGACATGGACTACTTGCAATATGTCAACTTCTTTTAATTTGTTTAATTCTCTCAATTTCTTTTTTAAAAAAAAGTTTAAAGGCATTCATGAGCCAAGTATGGTGGTACATACCAATAATCTGAGCTACTCAGAGGCTGAGGCAGTAGGGCAAGTTCGAGGCCAGCCTGGGCAACACAACATCCTATTTCAAAATACATACATACATATATATATACATGCATAAAATACGGCTGCAGGTGTAGCTCAGCACTCCCCAGGTTCAATCCCCAGTACCACCACAAATAAATAAATAAATAGGAATAAAGCCATTTAAAAACATAAAAAGGTACTTATGAGACAGGGAAATTTCAGCAATGAAGACTTGATGCGAAAGAATTTGTGGAGTTTTTTTTTTTTTTTTCACATGTACCAATGGCTTGTGGTTATACTTTTTAAGAAGACTTTAGAAATACTTGAAATATTTTTCAAATGAAACAGTGTATCAATTTCAATTAAAAATCATCTAGGTTGTGCTTGTGATATGTTGTAAAATGTTGTATGTCTGTTAATGTTTCCCTCCTTTTATCCTTAAAATAAAAAAAAAAAATCATCTAGGTTGAGAAGGAAAACAAAATCCTGGGTGTTGTGTGATAGGTAAACAAGAGTTTGTTATACCAGCTACACTGGTTGTACCTACATTTCAAATTCTGCAGAACACAAAAGTTAAAAGACAATAAAAACACTTTTAACATAGACATACATATATATATATATTTGGTATATGTTCGGAAGAAACTCCCTTGATCAGGGTAAGGTTAGCAAGTGGTCGATACACACAATCTAGGATTCTGCTCATGTTTTCAAATCATGATGAAAACATTAATTTGTTGTACCTATACTATTCTACTTTCAATAAAGTTATTACCACCAACCATAAAATCGTGTTTCCATTTATTTATATAAGTGTATCTCACTCACACAACTTATTTTAAAGAAGAAAACTAGTGTTAACCCACACTTCAATATGTCAGGTTACAATTATCAAGAACACACTGTTATTCTTCAAAATTGAAGTATCAAAAGTTGTGTGAATTTTTCTTGCAGACTCTACTATTTCACTGTTTGTTTAAGCTTCAGCCTGGTAAAATGTAGGCATACACAAGAATTAAATCAATTCCTCTCCACTTGAATTTTACATGAGAACTCTACAGGAATATGTAGATCTGGAGACAGCCCAGAAGGACTGACATGTGAAAAAATTCTGCCCAATTTTCCTCCTACATTTTAATTTCTCTCAGTAAAAAACAGAGGAGAAAGACTTGAGCCAAAGAAAATGAGCCTGAGTTTAGCCTTCTAGGGTGTGCAAGATACAAGAGATTTGTGATACTAACTCCTCGGAAGACTATGCTTTGTCCTTGCTCTGGCTGTAATATAATGAATAAGCAGTTTAAGGCACCCGTTCAATTGGAGCTACAACTTACCATTTGAAGAACTGCTCCAGCTAATAAGGTGTGGGGTCTAGACCAGGGTCTCCCAAACTCCCATTTAACCTTTCTGAAACAGCAACGTAATTTTCCCAATGTCACTGCCATCTTTTTTCTGCATGATTTCTATTTGATAAGAAATCCCACCTTAGAGGAAAACGAACTGAAATACCAGAAGGTTGTCGTTCATTTTGTGTGAACTGTCTTCTCAAGATGTTTACCACTACTTGTGTGAGAACAATGTCCAGCGACCCCACGTTCTCACCTGAGATGAAGGAACTGGGGTCCGGCTGGAGGGACCGGAACTGGTTGACATAGTATTCCCGCTGTTCTTCGGTTATCCTCCAGGGCTCATCTGGGTAACTGCTGTTGTTATCTTGTAGTTCTCGCTCCACTGAGAAGGACTTTTCAAAATAAAAAGGATATTCTTAGAGTGCCTGCCGGTAGTGAGTTGAAGTAGGAAATTTAAACACTAATAAAAGTTCTTATGCATTATACTTAATTTTTCCCCAAGGCAACAAATTTATCTGTGTCATAACTAAAATGTAACTGCAACACAAACTGAAAGATAGACATCAAGCTTTACAGTTTTCTGGAGTCCTCAAAGTTGTTAACAGGACTGTGCATGTAATATTGAACACTTGGTAAATGATAAAAAATTTCCAATGTGATGAAGGGTAAAAAAATCATTCTTATCTTCAACTATACACCACATTTTTATGCCTTCTGATCAGCTGAGTAGACAGAAAAATATTTCAGATTCTTTTTAAACCATAATCAAAACCCATTAGAACAGCTATAACAGCATGATCTCTTTTTTTCTGTTGCATTCACATTATATAAATCCAGGAGTCAAAAGTGCCAATACAAATCCAATGTCCTCAGGTCCTACTTGGGTGGCAACTCAAGGTCACTGACCCTGTCTTTCCACATGTGCAGTTGGGGAGACGGTAATACTTAGAAACAGAACTGAGCGGTGAGAACAGATGTCATGGTATCGCGATGATCAGGGTAACAGGGGGTGCATCCGACCTGCCACTAGAGGGCGAGCATGTCCAATGTCAAGATTTAACAGCCCAGAAAACAAGAGAAAGCAGTACAGGAGAAAACAAAAGCTCTATTAGGTTTTGGGGAAAGAAAAATATTATGTAGGGAGGAGGAGCCAGGTCTTTGTCCCATCTTGTCTACCTACCTTAAGACAAAGGGGCTACCTGCAAAGCGCCACCTCCACAAGACCAAGTGGTAAACACAAAGAGGGTGAGCTTTAGGACAAAAGGAAACTAGGAAAGAAAGGGCAGGGTATTACTGCCAAAAAGCCATCAAGCTACCTGCTTCTGAGCACACTGTCAAGGAACTAATCACTGGGAGGGTATTCTACCCACTCTCCCTAGAAACCACCCCCATATACCATTCCAGAAATTAAAGCTTCCTGAGAACGCCTGACCCCCACCACTTTGGACAGAATAAAGAGACCATAAAATTTGGGGCTGTGATATAACCTTGAGATGTCATCTTTGCAGTGAAACATCCATCATTTTGACAACTGAGGCCTTGAGCTGCAGGTGCTCTGGGAGAATGGCAAAAAACGCTGCCAGGAGAATGGATGTTTGCAAAAGTGCTGAGTGAGGCTGCACCGTGAAGAGGCTTTTCCTCAAAGAAAGAATCAGGATCCTCCGGGATGGTCAGAAGGAAGGTCACAGAGAAGCTGAGAGCTACGTGGTTAGGAATCAATATATGTCATTAGTAATCACTATATCGCTTTCATACTAGCTGAGTTTCTACTAAATGTAAATCAAATGTTTACATTTAGTTTAGCTTAGTTTCGACTGAATTTAAATGTCCAGGGAGTCGCTGTCCCTAAAATTCACAACATGCTTTGACGCTTACAAAGCATTTCACACACCCCTACCTCATCTGAGTATCTCAAGACATTTGAGAGGTAGACACAGGAGGTATTATCCTTTTCCCAGAGAGCTTAAGGGACTTGCCCATGCGTGTTAGGGAGCCCCTGCAAACAGCAAATAATGCCCCTCTTTCTTTTTATAATCTCTTTATTCATAGTTGCCTTCCTGCATATCCATAGTTTTTATTGGATTTTTCTGAATTTTTTCATAAATCACTTATAGTTCTAGTAACAAACAATATAAAGAAAGAAAGCAAAAAAAAAATTAAAAGTCAAGCTGAGCATCTGACGGACCACAAAACTTTCCATCCAACATGCTCCCACCATATTCCAAAGGTACATCCTAGCAGCACTTTCTCAATGAACCCAGCTGGCTGACAGGTTCAGAAGTAGAATACAGTGGAGGGAAGCGGGCTGGGATTATAGTAGATGACTGGTCAGATTATAACATGGAAAACTCATCAGAACACTGTCCTCCAGGTCAGCTCTGACAGACAGCACTGAAGTAAGTGACCTGACATTGAGCATAGGCAGGAGAGACCAGGATGGGCGACTGTGAGAATGAAGTGGGCAGAGATGCTTCAAAAGCTCGGCCCCCACTTTCCCATGAATAAAGGCACAGAAGTTGTATGCTCAGCACTGGCCTGCAGCATTCCCTGCTTCTGAAACGGAAGCTACTGCTCCCTCCATACACTCTTCCCTCCTGGAAACACAGCTGCCCTGTCCAGTTGTTGCTAATGTCAGTGCACATCTGCTCTTTCCCCAATTCCGTGACTGCCTGCTCACTATCTCGTCTTCATGTCACCACACCCCTAGGTAGCATGAGTGGCCTCTTAGTAATCTCAAGTCTGTTCTGACAGCAGGAATCGGGAATGGACAGGAGAGGGCAATTGATTCCTCTCTTAAAGGCCTACAGAGATGATCTGTTGCCTAACAAAACAGTCATCTCCTCTACCCGGCCTTCAAGGCCTGTGTGAGCCCACCTCCTCCTCGCCACTCTCAGCTCCCTCCTTAGGAGTCAAGCTTATGCCTTATTCCCAAGACACTCTTCCTCTTCTCCCAGCCTACCCAAGGCCTACCCATTCCTCAGGCCCCACTGCCCAGAGGGCTCTCCACTCCCATGCCCACAGCTGCAACAGAGGGCACTGCTGCCCATCCCCTCACTGTGCTACCAAGAAGGGGCCAGCAGCCACTTGTGGACCCAAACCCCATCACACACTTGGTCTCGCCTACTCAGAGTAAGTGTGGCACACACACAGAATGCTGGCCTTTGAAGTGCTCTGGCATGGAAAGCTCTTCCCAAGAAAACTTGGACCAGATGCTCATTTTTAGAGATGCAGATAAGAAATAGAAAGATAACAAGCAGAAAAAGCAGAAACTGAACAGATGCACAGCAGGGCCATGACGTAAAGGCCAGGTGGAACTCAGTTAGTGTTGTAGGCAGCTTAGATAGAACTATTATAGGCAGTTAGATAGGGCTGGGCCCTCGAAGGAGCCAGTGTGGAAGACAAGGTACCTTGCAACTGTGGGAGGGACAGACACTTCCGCTGTGGGCCAGACCTCAAGACAAAAGATGAAACAAATGCACCCACATACCTCCCTAGGGATGGACATCAGGAAATGATATTCTAAGTAGGTTATCAGTCACCTTGAGAAAGCCAGGAAGAGCCACTAACCCAACCCCCTACAGGAAAAGCCCCTGTTCTATATTCATGTCTGCTTGCTATATCACTCGCTTCCTCATTTGATCCCGATTTAATCAATTTTACCTGAGCAATTATACTAGTAATCTCATTGGATGACCATAGTTCTGGCCCACCTCATGCTCACCTTGCGAGTTCCCATTTTTCCCACCTTGGACCCACCTCACTTAGTGATTTTGCTGTATAAAATCCCTAGGAAAGGCACGGTCCTTGGCAACCCACTCAGGTCCCTTCTGTCTGTCTGTCTCTGTCTCTCTGTGTCTCTGTCTCTCTCTCTCTCTCTCTCTCTCTCTCTCTCTCTCTCTCTATCTGGCAGCAGCTTTCTTTCCCCTAATAAATATATTCTGCTCTTAACCTCCATTGTTCCTAAAATTCATTCTTCAATTTTAGAGAACACCAACTTGTACCAGATATCTAGCAGGTTGGGAGTTTCTTTCCCCTATAGCATAGCAGTGCCTGTGAGGCAGCCAGGGAAGCGATATAGAGTAGGAATAAGGAAGGCTGCTGGCAGTCAATGGTAAGCAGACAAGTGGATGGCAAGGCAAAGGCAAAGCAACTAGGCCAGACCCATAATGGTGGAATGAGCAGGAACCAGCAAGAACTCTACCTCTGTGGACCACCAGCTCACTCCTTATCACTCACTGCTTGAATTCCTCTTCCTCTTCAAGAAAACTTAAGCTTGCAAGTTAGTTCCTACTCCCCAATATCAAAAAGGGTTCTACAACAACAGGAGAGGGCACATGAACACTGTGTAACCCACACAGAGTGTGAGCCTTCAATCATTTTCATTAAGTGTGCTAAACTACCCCCATCTCTTTCCCCTTGCTTCTCACTGTGTATTTTATTTCGTGTGTGTGTGTGTGTGTGCATACAATGTGTGCTCTGCTTAGGATTTAACCTGAGGCGTCCTCATACATGCTATGCAAGTGCTCTACCACTGAGCTACAATCTTGGCATTAATGTATATTTTAAATTGATTAGTAAGTCAAGTGACTTGAGCATCTTTTTAAAAATTTGTACCTTTAGGATAACAATGGCAAATACCAAGAGTTTGAACATTTCAAACATTCTTAAGTATCTTCACCCAGGTATTTTTTTTTTTTTTTAGCAAAAAGCAATTGATTTATTTTCAAATTCACATTAACAAGACTTGGGCTTTTGAGGAGAAAAATATAGAGACTCTTATCCAAATGATTTTAATTTTCACCCAGGTATTAACACAGAAGGCTACAGTTATATCAGATACTACTTTATCCCACATGCAGTCCCCTATCAGATATATCACAGACACTGAAAAGTATGTCTACTTATTGACAGGCTTGAGTAAGTTCAAGGATGTGTTCTTCCTAGTGACAGGAAATCTAAGAATCCATTTTATATTTTAAAGTCTGAGATCCAGCAAAGGAAGGCCTTGACTTTCTATACTTAACCTATGGTCTGATCTTTATAGGAATTCTCAAGTCCCATATCTGAGTATTTCAGGGATAAAAGCATGTAGAAGGAGTAGATAATATTCCGGAGATCATTAAGCTGACATATTCCAAATGGAAGCTGATCCACTACAAGAAACAAGACAATTTAAACTTCACTGCATAAACAGTGAGCTGCTCATTCATTCCCTCAAAAGGTATTTATTGAACATCAACAATATCCCAGGTCCTTGGTCACTAGGGGTACACTAATTCTTCCCAGGAAGCTTAGATTCCATGAGGGAGAAAGGTATTTTTCTTCCCAGGAAACTTAGATTCCATGAGGGAGAAAGACACACAAGCAATTTCAACACAGTAAGAGAAATATT